TCTACAAATTCTCTAGTGTTATGAAAGTTCCTCTTGCTTTTTGTATTCTTATTTTAATATCTCTATCAGTTCCCCCATCTGTATCTACATTACTGCCCAATTAGGCGTACGACTCCACGTCTTGGAGTGGGGTGCCATTAAGTAAAACCGCATTACTATTTGCCTCATTTATTCTCATTATCTTTCATTTATAGATTTTCAGACATGGCTGCCGTGATCTCGCATCAAGTATGTTTAATTTGTCTTGCATCTGATTCAGTGAATGGGACAGAAGAGAAATATCATCAGCGAGGTCCAGATCATCAAGCTGTTTTGTTGGGGTCCACTGAATTCCATTCTTGGTGTTGGCGGTTACTGTCTTCATAATCCAGTCTATAGCCAGTAAAAATAGGAAAGGCGACAAAAGACATCCCTGTCGCACACCTGTTTTTATTTCAAATGTATCTGTTAGCTTTACAAATGTTAGGTATACATCCACTTTATTTATATTTCTTTGAAAAGTTCTCTCTCTCTCTCTCTCTCTCTCTCTCTCTCTCTCTCTCTCTCTCTCTCTCTCTCTCTCTCTCTCTCTCTCTCTCTCTCATATATATATATATATATATATATATATATATATATATATATATATATAATGGGTGGGGCGTGGGGGAGATTAACGTTACGCATACCGAAGCTAAGAGGTACCCAGTAAGCAAGTACAGATGTTTTCTTTTGAGGTATACGTTGTTAGACTTTACATAACATAATGTCCGTTCATTTGCCATTTAGCACACTATTGCTTTACTGCGCATTTAGACAATGCGTATGCTCCTTCTCCCCCACCCCAATCCCCCACCCCCACCCCCCCCCCCCCCCCCCCCCCCCCCCCGAAAATAAAAATTTGTAAATTGGCCTATTCTTGTTCGTATTCACCGGCTGTAACCTCCAACGGAAATTTATGGTTGTTCCTGAACCTCCCTGCACATCCGTTTTACAGACCTGGCTTATAAGTATGCAGACTCTTGGTTCTTTCAGGTAGATGCACCCCGACTTGAAATTATGACAAATACGTGGACTTCTACGACATGCTTGTAATGTAGGGAGGCCGTGGGTCTATTCTTGTTTTCCCCACAACGGGGCCACGAGACAAAGGGGCTGAGTGAAACTCATCCTCTGGCACCCGTTCACCACCTCCAATCTCATTGGTCACGAGTTCACGCCTGAAGCTTTCCAGTGTGTTGTTGCCTTTGATGTGTGTAAATGTGTGTATGTCATAGACACCGGAATCTGGGCGCTCAGCCTAACCTCTCTGTTGGGGGCGCTTTTTGTTAAATCATCTATCCCGCAACTTTCCGTGACTGCAATTAGAATAAACAGAGATACAAAAGACGTATCTTATTTTGCCCTAACCTAAAATAATATCGAGACAGTGCTTCGTGTTATCAAGAGAAACATAAATGTTGCTCGACGACAAAACAAGACAAGAGGTGGGGCGGGAGGAGGAGGGGGTGTGAGACTGAGCCCCCCCCCCACTCCCTCATTGTTAACTTCGTGGCGGTGCGCCTGGTGTATGTTAGTGCGCTCGCGTGTGTGCGTGTATGTGTGTGTGAGTTTGCGCGCGTGCGTATGAGTGAGTATGTTTGGTCTACCATCATCGTGGAGGAGGGGAGGGGATTGTGTGTGTATATATATAATTTATATATATATATTCCACTAAGAGCATGTGTATATATATATATATATATATATATATATATATATATATATATATATATATATATATATATATATATATATATACATGCTCTTAGTGGAATGCGCAAAATTTACCATGTCAGCGATATTTGTGAACTTTATGGAGTGGTAACACATTTTGTATTAAAAAGGATTTTTTCAAAACTATTGTTAACAGCAAATGAGAATAACAGAATAACAAGTTTTTTTTTTTTTTTTTAATAAAAAGCTGATAAAAACCACAAAACATTAAAATGTTTCTTCATACATAAAAGACAGTAAAAAGAAAATCGGTGAAAGGTCGCAGTGCAGACCTACGTGCCAAACTCTGCTACACACTCCAAAATGCCAGATATCACATTTATGAGCCAAATATTTATGTACACACGCATCAGCATTATACATTTATTTTGACATAAATTATCCCTGAGATAAAGTAATAAAAATGCGATATTATTTTAAATTTGCATTGAATTAAATTATGTTTTATATTTATGCTTGCTTTTTTCACCATGAAATTATAATATGAAATAAAATCTTCAGTGCTTAGGAAACCCGACACACATGACCGACTTTCTGACCCGTGGCCGTGGAATTGCAGACTGGATGGTTGCATTTGTAAGTTGATTCATCTAAGCTCGCATTTCTGGCATCTTAATCTAGTTTTTAAAACTGTAACATAAGCAAATTATAAAGTAGATTTCATGAGCTGTAAATGCGTGCATTAACGTTTCGAAACGGGCAAAACATAGTATACATGTTTATTGATTTGCGGTCAGCAGGACTTGGGGAGAGAAGCGGTGGCCAATGAAAAAGTTTGTCAACAAAAAAAGCTCAGCTGATTTCAGCCACTTCTTTCTTGGACCTCGTCACTGGGTACCTCTGCTTGCTGTCACTGATGATCATTTTTATTATATGTTTTCTGGTAATGTCAGATAACTTTATTGTGACGATAATTAAACGTACTATGTATGTTTTTGGTTTTTTAAAATATTGCTTACCTGGTTTTATGTGTTAAACGTTGAAAGTAAGTAAATTAAATAGTTAAATAGGCGACCATTTTTGCAGTTTGATATCAATAATGTGAAAGTCAATGGAATAGAATTGTGAAATTATTAAACAGTAAAGTAAAACAGTGTAACACTGAGAGTTAGAATCGTGCCTAACTAAAACTAATGATATTACCAGACTTTCCAATATGTGAATAATTGAATATGATAAATGATCACATGTCTTTTTTTTTTAATTAAATACTAATGGTGTTAGTGTTATGTTAAGAAAACGTATGTGCTGTGGATCTTTTGATATTCAGTCAACTTCTAGTCCTAGGGTGAGGTGAATGAACGCTGAAGCCATTCAGTTGCAGTGACAAAGGGCTGTCAAGATTCTTTATCTTTATTTTATATTTCCCCCCCCCCCCCCCCCCCCCCCCCCCCAGTGTCAGTCTTTCCATTAGTCACAACATACTGCAGTTTTCTCTTCTTATCGTGTGATATGTATTAATGCTAGGTATCAGTTGTGGTCTCCAAGGCATATTATGGCCTTTGTTGAATTTAATAATTAAAGTAATATGAAATAAATAAACAAATATTTGATTTGATTCAAGAACTGACATCACAGCACTCGGGGCATTCCCATAAGCGCTCCGCCCCATCTTCAGCAGCCAGCGAAGAGTTCTGATACTAATGGTGCCAGTAGCATTCTGATTAAACGTCCGTCTTGCCTTTCCTCTGAGCCTCGAGCATCTGCCAGAACCTCTAGTCACCCCCGACTGCATCAATCTCACCAGACTGGTGATCCATCTGCTCCATCTCCGAATTGTACACACTCACCCACAAGGCACCAACCACGTCTGCCCTATCATGTATCAGTATTTCACCAAGTTGTACAGAGCCAGCCAGTCTGTCCGCCTGTTCATTTCCCAACACACTGGCTGTAACCCGGTGAAAAAATCCAGACAATACTCCTCACTTGTGTCCTCCGCAGCGAAGCATGCCACTCTGCACGAAGCATACCTGTTCTGATCTTCCTCAGCTAAACAAATACTTAAAAGAGAACATCTATATTTGGTTGTTAGTGGGGGGATCACTTATTCCTCTTGCCAATTTGTCAGCTGGTGAGGCTCAGCCTATTCCAGTAGAAAAGCACAGCAGATAACAAGCTTACTTTAGTTGTGGTCTAGCTGAGAGAGGTAAGAAGCTGGGGGAAAAGATTGGTCTAGCTGAGAGAGGTAAGAAGCTAGGGGGAAAAGGTTGGTCTAGCTGAGAGAGGTAAGAAGCTAGGGGGAAAAGGTTGGTCTAGCTGAGAGAGGTAGGAGGCTAGGGGAAAAAGGTTGGTCTAGCTGAGAGAGGTAAGAAGCTAGGGGGAAAAGGTTGGTCTAGCTGGGAGAGGTAAGAAGCTAGGGGGAAAAGGTTGGTCTAGCTGAGTTAAGTAAGAAGCTAGGGGTAAAGGTTGGTCTAGCTGAGAGAGGTAAGAAGCTAGGGGGAAAAGATTGGTCTAGCTGGGAGAGGTAAGAAGCTAGGGGGAAAAGGTTGGTCTAGCTGGGAGAGGTAAGAAGCTAGGGGGAAAAGGTTGGTCTAGCTGAGATAAGTAAGAAGCTAGGGGTAAAGGTTGGTCTAGCTGAGAGAGGTAAGAAGCTAGGGGGAAAAGATTGGTCTAGCTGGGAGAGGTAAGAAGCTAGGGGGAAAAGGTTGGTCTAGCTGGGAGAGGTAAGAAGCTAGGTGGAAAAGGTTGTTCTAGCTGAGAGAGGTAAGAAGCTAGGGGAAAACATTGGTCTAGCTGAGAGAGGTAAGAAGCTAGGGGAAAAGGATGGTCTAGCTGAGTGAGGTAAGAAGCTAGGGAGAAAGGTGAAAAAAATATACTTTGCTACTTTAAAAAACAAATGTTGGCCTTCTAGTTGAATATCCCTTCTCCATTTCTTGTCCCTTGTTGTTGTTGAATTGGCTATGTCCTAGAGATGGTGTATAAGCAGTGAGGTCAGAACAGGGTCAGCGAAAGGTGTTACCAAGGACAGATTTGAATAAGACCTTATATTTTTTAATTCATTTGCTAAGTGTCTATTCTGGCATTGGTCAAAAACAAAACAGTGCACTTCAAGTCTTCATGGGTTGTCAAGAGTGAACAGCAGCGTTCATACTATCACAGCACCTTGGATGTCAGAGGCTATTAGTTTCACACCATCTGTTTTAGAACCAGACATTTTTGTTGCATAAGGCTCTTGTAAATATTCACATTTTTTTTTTTTTTACAGGAGTTACTACTGAAGGCACCAACGCCATTTGTAAACCATGGTTGTGTACACATGCTGCTGTCTCAATATTTGCATATTTGCAGATAAAATTGATGGAAAGTCAGAATCTGGTATGCTCTTAAGTTTTTGTTAACCCATTCTTTGCTTCATTTATTAGCATTTTTTTTTTTTTTTTCCGTAACTGTTTTGTACCTGTTTAGGGTACCTCAGCTAATGGCTAACACATTTTTAGGCTGACAAAGATACTTATCTTGTTTTTTCAGCCTCAGCTAATGAATGTACATTCTGCTAACAGATGTTTGTTGAACAGTGTTTCGTCTTTCTGGGACTCGCATTCTAAAAACGGCTTTTTTACAGCTAGCAAAAATTTTGGCGGCTATCCTACGAATAACTGGCAGGAAAGATGGCGACCGCAAAATATCCTTTCGAGCCACTGTCACGAGTCATGTGTTATAAACATTCAAAAATTGAAGTCAAAACTAATAGGGAACGAAACAAATGTTATATCAAATCGACTACTTACCGATAATTTTATGCCTTTATATCTGGAAATTATGGCACAGAAATTGTAAATAGTGCCCGAAAATCTGCTGTTTGTGGCTGTTACGCCATTAAAACTCGGCTAAGTACGATAGGAACAAGGCGCGGCTCGTACCAGATTGATAACGCAGCTTTCTCTTTAGTAGCATCCACAAACCGACTATACTCCGAATAATGAGCACAAAAGATGCCGGCCAAAAACAGGGCCTCAGTCACGTGTCAATTGCAAGCACTTCCGGCGACTGCCGCCACCGCCGAGAGTGGCCGCTCACGTGGCGTGGATTGGGGCTAAACTAGATGGCTAGGACTCACTAGCAAAGCTGCGGGGGAGACTCTCGGTGGCGAGTTTAACTCGGTGGTTTGCTCCGTTTCTCAAAATTGTCAACAGACACTTATCCTAGTTTTCCCGCAATGTGCTGGTGACCGCTAGTGCGCAATTGACACGTAACTGTGGCTCGAAAGGGTATTTTGCGGCCGCCATCTTTCCTGCCCGTTATTCGGAGGATAGCCATTTTGGCTAACAAATGTGTTTTGGGAAAAAATTATCTTCATTAGCCTAGGTGTCAGTATTGTTCATGTCTCAGACACTAGCAGTCTGTGCTGATTTTACAAATCCTCATCCAAGACTCATTCCACACCTCCTCGTCATGTGCTATTGATTGTGGTCTATGTCAGCCTAAATCTGGCTGGCAGGGAATCTCGGAGTTACTGAAGTGTATGGGTGAAAGATAACATACATAGTCAACTAATTTGGAACATGGGTGACGTTCTCTGACTGAATAGCCTATGACAAACTCAGGTTCAAATTTATGTCGTCCAAAAGACCTGCTATACGACTTGGTTCAAATGTCTGTCGACCAAGATTCCTGTTGTATGGCAGCTTAGGTTTACACTACACGAAAGGTTCAGATGTCTGCTAACCAATGGCCACTGTTGTTGGAGTGTAATGACTGTGCAGGGAAACCATGCCTGATGCCTGCTTCCCATAAATGTCATAAAGTGACCCAGGAAATCTATGTGGAAGGTGCCATTGTCAAACAGCGAAATCCAACATGTTAAGGAAATATGTCCTTTTGTGCAGAGTGTCAGAGTCTGAGGTCTGCAGACTGCTTCCTGGGGATACATAATGGGCACAACCCATAGTGAGTGGGAGGCTTAGTGTACGGGTGTGAGATTAAGCAGTCATGTGCTGAATATGATAATTCCTTGGGCGAGCCCAGTGCCAGAATACCATTAATCAGTTCTGCATTTTTGGAAGCCTCTGGGGATGACAGGGAATGTCGATGCTCTGCCTCTGTTTTTCCTTGAGGGTTGACTAATCTGTACATGACTGTCCCGGATGAAGTTCTTTAAGGAAAACACCTGTGGGGCTGGGAGTGACAAAGTCACCACACATATAAAGCAGTTAGTGTTCCACAAAACAACCAAAAAGGCTAATTTGAACAACAAATGCCTAAAGAAGATGGATATATAAGCCAAAAAGTGTAACTAGTGTAGTTGTGCTGTAGACGTGCACAACGTGTTGACATCGGATGAATGAAGAATTCCAGTAACTGAGCTTTCTCGAGAGACACGAATGCTCTTGTCATCTGCAAAGACACATGATAATGTTTGTTGTGGACTATGACTAGCCAGCACACAAACTCTAATTTAGCAATTTCCTGTGTATGGTTCCAGGGCCTCTTTGTGGGGAAAACAAGAATAGACCCACTGCTTCCTTAACAAGCATGTCTTAAGAATCAACTAATTGTGGGCTTCTTACGAAGTCAGAGTGCATCTGCCTGAGAGGCAAGGAACCAACAGTCTGCAGACAAAAAAAGGTTACATGTGTAAAACAGATGTGCATGCAACACTTAGGTTCTGAAACAAGACTAGAGTCCAGAGGTGGATGAACAGCCATGATTTTCTGCTAGAGTTTGCAGCCGGTAAACATGAAGAATTTAGAAATGATGTTGCTTGATTTTTTCCTCACTAATTCAGCTGTAAACCCTCTCAGGGTTTGCAAAATTAGTAGCAAATTATGTTTTTTTTTTTTTTTTTAAGGAGAAGAACAGAGCAGCTCACTTTACCTTGCTATGTTGTAATCTAGTATGTGGGAAGGCATGATATTTCTAACAGCCCTATGACAGTATCAGATACTGGGCTGTCCTGCTTATATTTGCATCCAGTGGGTTGGTGTGTCTGTAGTTGTTAACAACTCATTATTGACCATTTTTGCTGTGTGTAAAGGTTGCCTTTTTCTCTCTTTCAGATATCTTTAAAGCATGTCCTTTAGGGTCATCCTGTGAAGCTGTTGAGTTGATTGATCAAGGATTCCAGTTTGTAAGTGCTGTTAATTGTTTCTTTATTTGTTGATGGCTTGTCCCTGTTTGGGTTCTGAGCCTCCATCACATGATTACTTTCTAACATACATGTCATATAAGTAGACTAATTAGATGTGTTTTCTACAGGGTTGGAGTGCATCTGCTGGAGGGGCAAGGAATCGACAATCGGCATACATATTAGCCAGATCTGTAAATTGGATATGCATGCAAAACTCAAGTACTGGAACAAGACTAAAGTCTAGGAGTGGACAGTCAGAATTTTCTGTCAGAGTTTGCAGCTAGTGAATGTTAAGAAGTAGTGTTCTTATTATTTATTATTGGATCGACACAGACAGAAATGTAGCACTTTTTATTATCTTTTTTTTGTTGTTGTTGTCTCCATGAATAGGACACTGATTGGGTAACCTGACACTAATATAACTAGATTGTCCTTTCACCAAAACCAACAGGTTGAAAGAGATTGAGTCAGACAAAAGCATGTGGAGAAAAGAATTGGAAAGAGAGAGAAAGAGGAATTTTGAAGGTGTGAGTTGGTTAGGAGGTCTATACTTCATTGTGAGATACAGCGCAAAAGACCATTTTTAACCTTGTTGCCCAAGAGGACTAAATCTAGTAACTCCCAGTTGTGATACAATACTGTGACTGCAGATATATTGTCATGTCTGCACTGATCTGTTCTCAAAAAGTATAGTTGCATACATTGGTTCTATATGCACAGTGTTTAATAGGCCAGGATATAAATATAGTAACTGAAAATAGTTTGGGGGGAGGGGGTATCCTTATAACTGGCAAACTACTGAACATAAAATTGTCTAGTAAAATCACAAAACAGCTCCCAAATGCTGGGGTTGAGTCTGCAAGCTCTGTAAAGGACACAGACTTTGTTTCCCTTATGATTCTAGTGGCTTTTTAAAGCAAAGTTGAGGTTACATTTTCCTGTATGCCTCGGTGATAGAGGTCACAGGGTCATGGCATGAGTCACCCAATATATACTATGTTCTAAGTCCCAGAGAAATTATTCCGCTTAATGCCTCACTTTGCTCATGTTTATTGATTAACACTATATTTTCAAGTGTAAAAAAATTTTTGAACATATATGTTTTTAACGGTTTTTCTGGGAATTCCTACGGGTTCTTGTCCACTTTTGTTAGCATGTGTCCGATGAAAGGGTTAACTCATTGCATACATTTTCAGATTGGCATATCTCAGTAGGCAGTCTTTATAGTATTGTTCTGTTTCCTTGTAATGTCAAAGTAGAGTTTACATTAGAAATGTTTTAATTTTGCACTGTTTTGATCATGATTTTATGTTTTCATCGAAGTGGTTTGGATGTCGTTCTGAGCGAAATAAGCTGGCCATTATCTGACATATAATAGGCTATATACTGGAAAGAAAACTGGCAACCTGGGGCTAGAATGGGTTGACAGTAACCACATGTCCTGCCTCAGAAAACATGCATGGCTGGTTATACTTGTATTATTCTTTGCTTGCCTTATGGAAGCTGCTGCCAGACAAGTAATTCTTCATTGTTTTAGAGCCATGAAGTGTCTGGTTCTGCAGATGGAGATTTAGCTGTGAATGTTTTACTTTATTTTATATATAGCTGCAAAAGTGTCATTTTTTATCAGTGTAGAGTCAGTTATCATTTTTCAACTTTGAAAATTTAATGTTGTCAGTGTTTGAGCCAGATCACTATTTTTTCAATATTGGACTTCGGTTTTCAAGATGGTGCCTAGCGGGAACATTATTATTCTGTTCCTGTGCATGGACTACTATTTTTGTGTGTGCATATTTCCAATGCAGGATACATAGTGTTTGTGGGGGGGGGGGGGGTATTGTGGCTGTACTATTTTGGAGTGGGATAATGATCTATAGTTTCTGCAGCGCTGAGAATGCTGTTTTCGTAATCATTTGACCGTAGCGGTCCACTATCCGGTAACACAGCATCTCGTCAACGGGAAGCACTACAAACTGTCTAGAGAGCAAACCGGATAAAAACTGTCTCCATGAATATAATTTCAACCATTTTGGGAGGGGGGGATGAGGGGAGGATGTTGTTGCTGATTTGGGTAAAGTGTGAGGTTGTGTGAAGGGACAGTGGTATTCCAGTACTTGTAAGTTCACAGGGGGAATAGTGTCAACATGGTCCGAGTATTGAAAGGAGACCAGTGAAAATGTCTATTCATGAACAACGCGTGCACGCACGAGAGAAAGTGGACGTGTGGGTTACTGTGTGGGGGCTGAAAGCATGGCTAACGAGATAGAGAAAGTGTGAATTAAGTGACAACGTGATTCTCAGGTAACATCAGCCACCCGCATAAGTGTGATCCTCGAGAACGCCCACATGAGCGTGAGTCTCGAGAACACGCACGGGATCATGAGTCACGAGAACGCACATACAAGCGTGCCTCCCGTGTAATCTTCATCCACATACACGGATTTCAGGGGGATAAATTAGGGGGCTGGGAGGCAATCGAGAGTCAGAGACAAAGTCAGGGTCCGTGATATCTCTCGCGAGTCTAACAGACAAGAATACCGTACGACTATCAGGCATTTAGGTCTGAGTGAGTATCGAGGTTGCGGTACTGAAGAAGATATGGTCCCGTTGGCAAAGTAAGTCCAGGGGACGGAAGGCTCCAGTAGCACCTGTTCTGGGTGGTGACGTAGTGAAACGTAGGAGGACCACTACTAAAACAGAACAGGGGGGAGTGGTACCCACGAGAGCTGTGTGCTAGAGGGGACTTATGGTAGAAGTCCTGTCGGTTTTCGGAGTACGGCCAGGAAAGTCCGTCTCCAGTCATCCGTGTTATATGCTGAAATAATATAAATGTCCAGGTAAAGGGAGAATTCATCCTGTTCAGCTGTACGGCGCGTCTAGCGTGTGAGACGCTGTTGTCCTTGGAGCTGTAATAGTCAAGGAGAGGTCACTATAAATTGAAAGAGAGCGAGTTAGTGAGAACAAATGGACGATGTGCGAATGTCAGCTGTGATCAATAACTACGTCTCTGCATTTGTGTCATGTATCCTGTTAAATAAAATGAATGACGTTGTCATCGTCGTCGTGTTCTATTTCTAAGAGAGGAAGCTGAAGGGTACTTGGTGGTGTGCTGACTAGGGGTAACTCATTTAGCACACAAAAATGTCTAGACCAATCAAGAGGAAAAACCCACTTCCTGTGTAGAACATCATTTGCTTGATTCCTGACATGTAATAGACAAGGACAGTACTTTACCATGTGATTTACCATACACCCAACTCGTGAATGCTAAGACTGGCTGGCCGAAGCATAAGCAATCGAAATTAACAACCTCTTCTTATGTAAGCAGAAGGAATTCATAATCAATTTAAAGTTAACCTGACTACAGTAAACTTCAGGCAACTAGAGAGATCATTTATTTCAAAGAAATTTATTATGTTTTGTGTGTGTGTGTGTATGCTTAATTATATGTTGATTTAACTCTGTAGTAACGCACCTGATGAGGTACAGTGAAGTAGGCCTAGTAATATGCAATTTTTTTTTTGTCCGCATTATTTAAATACATACAGTTAACTCAGTGGGTATTTCTCAGTATTAATGAATTACGGTTATCATTTTCCAGCTGTGAAGAGTCACAGTTGTCATTTTAAAGGAATATATTTTGACAAGTGTCATGTTCCATTGTTAGGTTCATAAATGCCTAGTCCAACGTCTCAAAGATGGAGATTGGACTGTGTATGTGTGTATCGTCTGCGGTATGCGGACACATGCTGTTAACGTTCATGTCAAGCTTGTGGCTGTCAGCTCAGCAATGAAGGTAAGGCTTAAACAAAACTATAAATATATACAGTCAAAATGATTGTCCTTTGCTGTTCCACATTTGAGAAACACAATCCAGTCTGTGTAACACTTAAGTGCATGAGGAGAATAAAATATGTGTTTCTGCAAAAGAGCTGATAAATCAGTCCAGGTTACCAGGCTCTTATGTCGAATGATTGCTTATTTATTTTGGTTTCCACAATTATTTTTGGTTGAATGGCACAGATATCACAACCTAGCTGTAAACTACAGAACAGTGGCCTTTGTAAGATAGAATGCAGAGCAGTAATAAGAAAAAGAATTATCTTTAGCTTTAAAAAAAAGACCATTGTCATAGTTGTAACCAAACTTCCTTATCTAACATATCCTTTAATATGTTAACATCACTGAAACTCATGAAGCCTTATTTACCTGACACTTCTGTACTCTTGTCTTAACATTTATCTTAGATAACCACAAGTGCCGTCCTTTGGATTGCCTTTCTAAACCCTAATCTGCTAGCACACATGGAAGGGGATTCCCCCCCACTGGGAGATAAGCTGAGAGTGGTTGAAATGAAGTATCATATCAAGATTGTGTTTGTATATTTCATACAGAGAGGCAGAGAGGTGATTGAACAGATGAAAAACAACCCAGATTATTCACAAGTGTTTGGGTTGCTGCTGAGCCCACTTGACAGCAGACTAAAAGACATTGGTATGGTTACAGTGTGTGTGTTCTAGTTTTCATTGCCACTGAATTATCTTTGCAAATGTAAACATCTTTAATCCTGTTTTATTTCTTTGTCTTGAGGATGTTTTCCTCTTTTGATAAGACATGACCTTCTGTCGAGTTTTGTTTTGTAATAATTTTGTTTCTACATTTTGTGAAATTGCTTTTGTCCGTCAGAAAAATGTTACAGTACATAATGCAGTATTGATTATCTTCTTAGAAAATGTTAACATGTAACCTGTTCTCTCAGTATTACTTTTATGTTTGATACAAAATGCATAAAGAAATCCGGCTCCTTCAGCAGTCATTGCACTGTGTATTTGGGCTCATGTGAGCAGTGAATTTATTGTTCCTGGTGATTATTTGTTCCCGAAATGTCTGCTGCAAAACTGTCATAAACATCAAGAGTTGTTAAATATGCACGGCCTCATTCTGTGCTTTGAATGAAGTTTAACTCTTCAGTACCCCACACTTAGAACTTTGACATCCCCAAAAATATATAACCATGAAATTTCCTTTGCTTTATTATGTTTTTTTTTTTTTTTTTTACGGAAGAACATGTTTAGAACATTAACAGTTTTACAGTGATGTTTGATAAGTCAGTGTCATGAAAGCATGGATTGGTTTTTGTTGTTGTTGTTAATTATTGATTTGCTGAATTATTTTGCTCTGTCCCCAAATCAGGTGGATTTCTGCCACAAGGCTATGAGGCCTTACAGAAACAGTTGGGGGATCTGCAAGATGTTCTCTCCAGGTACTTGAAACAAGAAGAGGAAGCCATGGAAAGTAGAATAAGGTATGTTTATTGTATAACTACTTGTCACTCTTTCTTCAGTTCTCTCTTTCTCACACACCTCTGTCCTCTTCCTCTCTCTGCCTATCTCCCTTCTTATCTCTTTCATCATCTCCTCTCTTCCCATCCCCATCTCTTTGTCCATGTGCCTCCCCCCCCCCCCCCCCCCCCCCCCCCCCCCCCATTTTCTCTCCTCACCTTCACCCACTCCTTTTTTTTTTCCATCTCTCTTTCCCATCCTTCTTTCCGTTTCCTGTTTGAGGAATGGGTTTAACATCCTGGCATTTTGTCATTTTAGTATCAGATCATTCTTTTCTTTCGGAACTGTCCATTTTTGGGTTCTGATTTTGTCAAACCTTATTGTCCTATGTATGAGACGATCATATATATATAGGATGCCCCAAATTTTGTTTACCTAAAAAAAAAAGGAAATAAATATTTTAAACATTCTGCATGTAAGATGACTCAGTTTTGAAATTTAAAATTTTGGAAAACATTGCCTTATATACATGAAAGAGTATGGTACGTTTTTGTAATGACATGATTTCCTTATTAACTAACTACAGTTGAGTGGATGTCACACAAAAATTGCACTTAACTGTTAAGTTGATTATGATCACTAAACAATCTCAGCAAATCAAGAAATGAAGTAAAGAGGCTGGCACTGTATAAGACACACACACACACTGAAAAAACACCTAATAATGGTATAATTAGAAAGATGACTGCAATGTCCAGTGTGCAAGCGATGGCTGCAATGTCCAGTGTGTATGTGATGGTTGCAATGTCCAGTGTGTAAATGATGGCTGCAATGTCCTGTGTATAAGCAATGGCTGCAATGTCCTGTGTGTAAGTAATGGCTGCAATGTCCAGTGTGTATGTGATGGTTGCAATGTCCAGTGTGTAAATGATGGCTGCAATGTCCTGTGTGTAATTGATGGCTGCAATGTCCTGTGTGTAAGTGATGGCTGCAATGTCCTGTGTGTAATTGATGGCTGCAATGTCCTGTGTGTAAGTGATGGCTGCAATGTCCAGTGTGTAATTGATGGCTGCAATGTCCAGTGTATATGCGATGGCTGCAATGTCCAGTGTATAAGTGATGGCTGCAATGTCCAGTGTATAAGTGATGGCTGCAATGTCCTGTGTATAAGCGATGGCTGCAATGTCCAGTGTGTAAGTGATGGCTGCAATGTCCAGTGTGTAATTGATAGCTGCAATGTCCAGTGTATAAGCGATGGCTGCAATGTCCAGTGTGTAAGTAATGGCTGCAATGTCCTGTGTATAAGTGATGGCTGCAATGTCCAGTGTGTAAGCGATGGCTGCAATGTCCAGTGTGTAAGCGATATCTGCAATGTCCAGTGTGTAAGAGATATCTGCAATGTCCAGTGTGTAAGCGATGGCTGCAATGTCCAGTGTATAAGCGATGGCTGCAATGTCCAGTGTAAAAGCAATGGCTGCAATGTCCTGTGTGTAAGTGATGGCTACAGTGTTCTGTGTGTAAGTGATGGCTACAGTGTTCTGTGTGTAAGTGATGGCTACAGTGTCCTGTGTGTAAGTGATGGCTACAGTGTTCTGTGTGTAAGTGATGGCTACAGTGTCCTGTGTGTAAGTGATGGCTACAGTGTTCTGTGTGTAAGTGATGGCTACAGTGTTCTGTGTGTAAGTGATGGCTACAGTGTTCTGTGTGTAAGTGATGGCTACAGTGTCCTGTGTGTAAGTGATGGCTACAGTGTTCTGTGTGTAAGTGATGGCTACAGTGTCCTGTGTGTAAGTGATGGCTACAGTGTTCTGTGTGTAAGTGATGGCTACAGTGTCCTGTGTGTAAGTGATGGCTACAGTGTCCTGTGTGTAAGTGATGGCTACAGTGTTCTGTGTGTAAGTGATGGCTACAGTGTCCTGTGTGTAAGTGATGGCTACAATGTCCAGTGTGTAAGTAATGGCTACAGTGTCCTGTGTGTAAGTGATAGCTGCAGTGTCCTGTGTGTAAGTGATAGCTGCAGTGTCCTGTGTGTAAGTGATGGCTGCAGTGTCCTGTGTGTAAGCTTGGCTGCAATTTTCAAAAAACTTTTCAATGGCTTTTGAGTGTATGTCCTTTGTTTAGGCATTAATAAACTTGTGGTCTTAGCCAAAGACCTTTCTCCTACCACTGTGAGTGTGCACACTGATGACTTAACTTTTTTTTAAAGCAATTTCTTCTTCTGGCAGCTTCGAAGCAAGCAGTCTGTGTAATGTTTGCAACTTTACAGAAATAACAATAGACATTATATTTAAAAAAAAGACTTGGTCTGCCTCGTATGTCTACGACCATTCAGCTCCCTTGTGTATAGTTTTTAACCTCTCTGTCATTTGACATACTCTCATTATGGCCAAGCCATTTCAGTTTATTCAATCTCATGATGCCAGTGATAAGTGGTGATTTAAACAGATTATGAATTTTGTTGATGCTCTGTCTCTTCATTCCCCGCTGTTTGCATCTTTGATGGATCCAAAGATTCCTTGTAAAAACTCCATTTTTGAAAATTTGTAATTAGGCTTCATCTCTTTTAGTTGTGCTCCAAGTCTCAGAGCATATTAAAAAAGTTTTTTTTTAAATGCATTGATCGGCACTCATAGAAAGATAAAAGAACACACTACAGAGCAGAAATAACCACAGATATGTTAAATAAGTAGCCTTTGACCACCACCATCAGCGGTTATTGAGAAAAAGCAGATTATTTGGTGGGTCAGTTATTTCTGAAACATACCTCTTGCCTGAGTCATCTGTGGGAAAATGATGCCCTACATAACCTCCACATGTTACCTGTCATGTTCATCCCTTTGGACACGATTTAAACCATAGATAGGCCTGTGAATTTCAAGGACAACCCACCATTTTACACTCTAGTATATTTTGATTTACCGTTCAGGGGAAAATCATTAGAGGCACAATCGGGAGTGTTATTTTGCAGTAATTGTTAGCATGTTAAGTAACAAGAAAGAATATGTAAATCCCTTGTGAAAACTGTCATTGTCCCATACATTTTGTTCCCACTTTCAAAACTGAAGATTATTTCTTGAGCAGCACGATGAGAAGGAGTAACAAAGTTCTCTGGTCATGTGAGGAGAAAAGGGGCACTGGAAAATATTGTGACGACTGGACAAAGCACTGGTAGAAGAAGCAGAGGCAGACCAAGAAAAATTATGGTGGATGGCTTAAGACGGTGGCATTGAGGAATATTATCAGTGGAATTGATCCAGAACACCAAAGACAGAGATCTGTGGAGATGCATGAATGCCTACGCTAGCTGGCAAGGCTGGCGATACAGATGATGATAATGATGACCACTGACAGCTTTACCTACAGCCCAGATAAACAGTCTAGCAGCACAAACAACTCAGAGCGACTAAGATTAACAGTCCAGTGAAATAAAACATAGCTGGGTTAAAATAAAACATTACCATAAACACAGGGTGACAATAAAACAGCAGACTGCTAAACTAAAATCAGATTATTTTTTTTAAAACCAGATGGCTGCAACTGGACTTATGTTGAAAGCGAATTAATACACACACACACACAAAATATAACCTCTGAATTTATTTATGTTTTAAATACACTGATACTGCTTCACTTTTCTAGAACTGTTGGGATGCAGTCTTCCTCACTTCAGTCATCTTTTTTTCTTCCCATCACACCCTCAAACCTCAGTAAAACTTTACAGAACAATACATCATATATGTTCTTATTTGTCTTCTCTATACAGGGCAGCTACCACGTTGTATCGGCTTGTCACTGACTAACTTTCCCTAGGAGTGTTTTATTTCGTCTTTAAATTCTGCTTTACTGAAGATCTAGTCTGTTTGACACACATTATGATCAGTTTTGTTTAAAGTGTGACAATTTTTATTCTCCTCTCATAGAAATTATGAGGAAGAGCAAAGGAATAATTTTATGAAGTTGAAAGAAATGGCACAGAAGGAGAAAGCAAAACTTATAAGGTTAGTTTTTGACTGTAATTTCTCTACCTGTCTAGTTTAATTTAGCAATGGTAAGTTGGAATATAATTTTTTTTTAAAGTATCCATTACTTTATCCATTGTTTTTAAAGTCAGTATGAATCTGCAGTTTTATTTCATGCCGGCTTAAAGACATCTAGAGAGGTTTTTTATTTTCATTTTTTCTTACCCGCGGCATTAGAATAGACCTTTCTAAACTGTATTTGGTACAGTTTTGTAATATATGTTCTACAGTGTGGTGTGCTTGCCAAAATGCACACATAGCTGTAGAATATGTCTTTAGCTTTGTGTACAGGTAGCTGTTAGGTAAGTATTCTGTTTGATCCGTAATTAATATCTGCGTCTGATTGTTCGTAAATATGTTGCCGTCAATTTTCAGTGTGCTTTTTCACAACTCTGACGGCACCCGCACTATACCGACACAGGACAGAGGCTCAACACGCCTACACGGTATGTTTTTTTATCAGTTACCACAGCTGGTTCGTGCGTATTTCAGTTAAGACTTTTTGTTAAATGAATATTCTTGCTTGTATAATTCTATAATAAATATTTGTTAGGTTTTTATTATTTTGCTTCATAATTTATTTTCTGTTTCCATATGTTGCTTTTTTTTTTTTTTTTAAATCAGTATATTTAGCAGATTTGTTTAATTAAATTTGCTATTTTGACTGTTTAATGTTTTACATTTTTTTTTTTTTTTTTAATTAAAAAATTTTCTATATTGACTGTTTAATGTTTAAATTCTGCATGTTTTTTAAGATTCTGTCTGAGCTTTCATTATGTTTGTAAACATAAGAGTATGAACACTTTTTACAGCCTGAAATCTGAAGAGACTTTACCCCTGAGAAAATATCATACCGCTTTGGTTTTTTGTTTTTTAAATTTTTATTTACTTCTTTAACCCTTTCATCACTGAATTCCTATTTTAAAAATCTCCTGTACCGTGATTACTGAGGAATTATGGAGCATAAATATAATCATATTCAGCCATCTAAACACAGTGAAATTTTAAAAGTTAGTTCCATATCCTTTACTAGATGTTGCAGAACCAACCTCAGCATTTTTTGTTTGGGATTTTACTGGGCAACTTTAAGTTCACTAGTTTGCCATTGATTACTCAACTGTCGGCTCTCTGTACCACTTTCTAAATCAACCTGATGTCGTCTGCTGCTAAGCAGTTTTCAAATTTTGAGTTAAAATATTACAGTAGTGGAACAAAATTAGTTAACAGTGAAAACTGGGTTAAAGGAATTTAAATTAGAATTAGAACAAGACAGAAGTTGAGAAAAATACACCATATGTCATCATCATCTCATAGCAGGTCTTTTGCAGAATGTCGCTGTCATCACGGTTCGCCTGAAAGAAACTTGCTAGCTGTCTCGCCTCATGTACTTTCATATTCAAGGAATCACTTATATCCTGTGCCCATCTTCGTGTAGGTCGGTCCCTGTCCCTCCTTCCTGGTTCCTTGCCTTCTATTATTTTTTCCCAATCCGCGATGGCGCTTTATATGATCGAAATATTTCAGCTTCTGAGACAAGATGCTGTTTATTAACTAATCTTCCTTGTTCAGATCTTTTAAAATGTCAGTATTTCTTCTCTTCTTTGTCCATGATATTCTGAGAATCTTGTCTATAGCATTTCAGTGGACTGATAGTCCACGACTCACATCCATATGTTGCTGCTGGTAAGATGCATGTTCTCAAAATTGTAATTTTGATTTCCTTGCTGGTGCTTAACCATAGACTTGTAACACTGTTTAAACACCGTATGTAGAATAATCCATAAACATGGCAAGTTGTCTGGTAGTGAAAGAGCTAAACAGCCCATGTTCTCAAACTGCCAACTTGTGTTTCTTTCTTCTAGCTCCTGTGAGTCATTCCAAAAGTACATCAGATTATGAGAGTGGAAAATCAAACTTCGTTGGTAATGGGAGAAAGAATATGAAGATGAGGGATTCAAGTCCAGATGGTTTGTTCAGCACTTTTATCTTTGCTACTCTTGAACCCGTTTGCACAATTATCATACCCTAGATGCCCTTTTGCACACTTTTCAAGACCCTAAACACCCTTTAAGCACACTTTTCAGACCCTAGACACTCTTTTGCACACTTCTTAAGACCCTAAACACTCTTTAATCACACCTTTCAGACCCTAGACACTCTTTTGCACACTTCACAGACCCTAGGCACTCTTTTGCACACTTCTCAGACGCTAGACACTTTTTTGCACACTTTTTAAGACCCTAAACACCCTTTAAGCACACTTTTCAGACGCTAGACACTCTTTTGCACACTTCTCAGACCCTAGACACTCTTTTGCACACTTTTAAGACGCTAGACACTTTTTTGCACACTTCTTAAGACCCTAAACACCTTTTAAGCACACCTTTCAGACGCTAGACACTTTTTTGCACACTTCTCAGGCCCTAGGCACCCTTTTACACACTTCCTAGACCCTAGACACCCTTTTACACACTTCCCAGTCCCTAGACACCCTTTTGCACACTGTTAAAGTCTCTGGGCACCCTTTTGCACACTTCTCAAACCCTAGATGCCATTTTGCACACTTCTTCTACACTAGACACTCTTTTGTGTCTTTTTAGCAGTCCCTGTATGTGAGATGAACATTGCACAAAATTGCACTTAGGTCACTGGCATAATGCCAGCATGTGAAGCCCTGTCTAGACACATCTTTAGTGATAAACTTGTGTGAGCGAATCTTTCCTTAGCTGCCCACAACTCCAGGAGTGAGTGATACTGTCTTGGATAGAGAGAAAATATAACAGTGAAAGAAACTGACCACTCCATGTTATAAAATTGACATGTTAAATCAAGCCAGAAAACATTCTAATTATACTGCCTTTTTAGAGTTTTCTTTTCCTGTAGATGTTTTTTTTTTTTTTTTTTTTTTGTCTCTATTCTTGTCTTGTTAATTTTTTTTTTTTTTAAGTGTCTTTTATCAGTATTGACTTCATACACAATTGTTTTAATATCAAGAACTCCCAGTGTGGATTTTGGGTCTCTTGTTTTGGTGGGGGGGGGGGGAGAATAGACCCACTGTCTTCCTAACAAGCATATTGTCAAAGGCAATTAATTTGGGATATTTTCTTCAAAGGAGGGCATCTGCCTGAGAGGCGAAATACCAGTTTTAAAAAAAAGTAAAGATCCCTTTTCGCGCCTTAGGCGCATCTGGTATTTTGGGAAGAGCGTCCCATATTTGTATAGACCAATCAGCACTAGATGGGTAATGTGGTCAGCATTATGCCGGCCGTCCTTAATTCCCCATGACAGCCATCATGGTACCCATTTCAGGCTGGATCGACCTGCGACGCTCCATACCATGATAAAAATCCACACAGCCAGCAGTGGGTTTCGATCGCCGTACGTTGGATTACGAGTCGCACTCCCAATGCCTGAGCCACAGACGCCGCGAAATACCAGTAGTCTGCATATAAATAAGCCAGATCTGTAAAATAGCTGTGCATGCAAAACTCAAGTTCTGGAAAATGACTGAAGTTCAGAAATTGATGAACAGGCAGGACTTTCTGTCAGACTTTACAGCTGGTGGCCTTGAGGAAGAAGTAACAATACTAACATCATAAAACTTTAATTTGTTGAGTTGTTAAACTATGCATGTTTTGTGAATATTGTTGTTAAATATAGCATGGTAATTGTTGTGGGAATACATGTTTTAATGGTTAAGTGGCTGTTTGTGTCATATTCTGTTGAATGATTTAATAATCATTTTCTTACTTGAATATTTTACGTATTGTTTTTTTTTTCTAGCTAAGTTGATACTAATTTTAGCAGTTTTCATTTTCTTTTGTCTTTTTCTGTAACTGAGTGGTTTGATTTTTTTTTTCAAATATTGATTGGATAATTAATATATATATATATTGATGCATGAATTTCCAATTTAAGCTAAAATTAATCAACACAAAATATGACTGAAATGGGACTAACGAGAGACATATAACATTTAAAAAACCCACATTATCAGTGTATTTATCTTTCTATTAAATTTCAAATTAACTTCAGTCCAGTCATCACAATTGTTTCCAGTTCCTTTTCTTATCATCACATGGCCAGAGAACTTTGTCTGTCCCCTTCTTATTGTGCTGCATATGAAATAACCTTCAGTTTTAAAAGTGGGAACAAAATGTATGGGACAATGACCGTTTTAGCCAGGGATTTTCTTGTTACTTAAACCATTTAGTTTTCCGACTGGATATTCTGTATTTTGATAACACAAGGACAGCAGAAATCTCAGTGGTTATAAAGCATCATCATCATCACTCGACAGGTGCATTACAGATTATTGCTCTTGTCACGGCACACCTGAAAGCCTCTTTTTCTCTAGCCAGTTCTCCCGCCCTATAGGCTTTCTCATAGCCAGTGCATCTTCAGTGTCTTGTATCCACCTTGGCAGAGGTCTGCCCCTACATCATTTTCCAGAAACTGTAACACTGATCTCACCACGCCACCTTGACGTTTAACATGGCCAAAATACCTCTGCTTTTGGGACAGGGTCACTTTATGAACTGATCCTGCATGCCTAGATCATGTTGGATGTTATTTTTCTTCTTCGTGGTTAGAACTAGTTTTCTTAATTTTTTTTTTTTTGTGTGTGCTTACATAAATTTGATAAAAAATCCTTCTAGTTCTGTTCCTAGCTCTTCACAGTTTTGAATGTTGAATTAAGAATTGACATCACAGCACTCAGGACACTTCCACAAGTGCTCAGTCCCCATCTTCAGCAGCAAGTGAAGAGTTCCAATTCCGATGGTACCAGTAACCGTCTGATTGTATATCAGTTTCATCCTTCCCCTGAGTGTTGAGCGTCGGCCAGATACCCTAGTAACTTCCCCCAGCGCCATTCTCCTTAGACCGTAATGTTCTGTCTGTGCCTCCACACTGTTTACCCATTCGTAAATGGAACAGTTTATGAAGAACAAATTAACCTTTTATTAGAAAGTCACAAGTTGTGCACTCACCTTAAATTTGGCCTTTACAAACAGTTATCTTTTATATAATAATTGTTTTTTATGTGTATGCTTGAGAAAATTAAATATACAAAATATAGCATTGTAGGAGAAAGAAAACAAATTCCCGTATGTATGTGTGAGTTTTTGTACACTCACTACTTTAGTGAGAATGTGTACATTATACGTCATACATACATACATACATACATACATACATACATACATACATACATACATACATACACAGGGCCGCCTTTGCGCAGTTCATAAGAGGCTCGCTTTTAAATCCAGCTGCAACTCACTGCAGCCTACGGTCTGTTTTCGAAACCAGGCGGTTCCCCGGGGTTCACCCAGCCTCTAGGAAATAGGTACCAGAGTTGACACTCTGGGATAAATGGATGAACGTCGCTGTAGCTACAGAGTTACGTGCGAACAACGACACATGCGGACAATTCTTATCAGCTGTCCATACTGGTGGCAGAGCACTTATGGTTTATAACCCTGTGGAATGATGCTGGTTCACATCTCCGGACTTTACCTTTTTTATACATACATACAAGAAGAGTGAAACTAAGCTGCACTTAACACTTTTGAAGCTGCATTGCACAATTGCATACCTAATATTGCTCATGTTTAATTTCACTGTGGCCCTTAGGAGAAGGAAAACCAGTAGTACCAAGCAAGTAAAAGTTTATTCAGGTTGGCTACTTCATTCCATAACAGCTTCTGCCCCTAAAGTAAACTAACTGTAAACAAGTCTAATAAAAAGGCTTGCAGACAATGTGCCATTAGAATATCATCTGTCAGAAATGATTACAAGAAGACATGACTACCAGCGCCATACAGCATGGAATATAAGAAGATAAAGAATATGCTGTATCCCAGCTGGTTTACGTCCACTTGAAGATGACTTAACGTAAAGACTTAACGTACAGATCAACCTGACCTACAAGTTGACCTCAAGAATTTAGCTCGAAACTCTTAGTAAAGAATATACCTACCTAATGCATTTTATATATACTAAGAAGGTCATTTCTCATTTAAAAAAAAAAAAATTTTTTAAGCTTGAAAATTTTATTTAAATGCTGCATTTTGCGGCAGTTGTCTTGTAGTCTTTTGGAACTGCATGTCCTGGGCATTTTGTCTGTATTTTGATTCAGAAATGTGATTATGCCTGAAAATACATAAGTTTTAAAGTCATTGATATTGATCTGTTGCCTGTGCTGCAGTTTTTGCAATGGATGAATTGGAACTTGAGGAGGCTGACGAGGGTACTCTGGGTGCTGCATACGCAAGGAGATCTGGTTAGTAAAGCTTTTTCAGTAAATGTGGAAGCTTTTTTTTTTTTAAGCATCCTTTTATTCACTTTTTTAAAAATTAGAAATGAACTGGTTCATTTTCTGTAAGTTTTACAAAGATATGTTATTATTTTTGAAAATAAATCATTTCGTGACCCATGGGTTAAAATAAATCATTTCGTGACCCCTGGGTTAAAATAAATCATTTCATGACCCATGGGTTGGCAGCACATGATCTGGCCGCTGAGCTTAGTGGCTCATCCAGAGCAGTTATGCCAGTTAATTCGCCTGTCAATTAAAATTGATTTTTCAGTCACGTTTTACATTTGTGTTCACCTCTCTGTGTAGAGAAAAGACAGATTGCTGAGAGCGAGAACAATTCAAACGTGGAGCAGTTTGGGCGGAAGCGAACAGAAGACTTGGACGCAGCGGATGAAGTTGGCACAGTGGCAGGATGATACTTCTTTGATGTCTACATCTGTGCCGATCTCTATGCCTGCACATGCTAGAAGTGTGAGAGTCAAATCACACCTTGATGACAGTTTTGAGGTGATTAAATATTTATTGTTATTTTATTTGCAACTTTGTTTATCCCTAGTGTCAGAGATGTACACTTAAAACTATGTTTGCATGTTTCACACTAGATTTAAATTTAATTTAACTTCAAGAATAATTTCCAAGTGGTACAAAAGCTTACTTTTTCTGCTGTGTTCTTATTTCTTCTGCATTCACTCTTTTTATGTTTTTAGTTTTTTCTGAAATAAAAAAATATCCCAGTTTTGATGCTCACCAGTAGTCGCACTTGCCGTGCTTTCCCCTGCAGTACTTCTTACTTGTACAAAGAAACTCGTGACAACACCACCTCCCACAAACATTATATTTGCCGAATGAACACCGAACAAAGCCAAATCATATAACAGTTCCGCAGCATAGCACAGGAGAGGCCCTGCAACCTGACGGGGCATGAATGGGAATTAAAGTTACTCTCTTTTTGCGGACCGAAATGTTACTAGTACCTGCTCCCGATCAACAAACAAAAATTGTTAGATGTTATGTATACTCAACCCTGTTGTATGGTGCAGAAACCTAGACAATCTAATTGAGTCTGTAGAAATGTGTATATACAAAAGAATAGGTCATATTTCATGGAAACAAAAACAGTTAACAAACATGTTCTGAAAAGCATCAAGAGGTGGATGAACAGCAGTCAGAGAGCACAGGAACAGCAGTCTGAGAGTACCACAATCAGAGAGAGAGAGTACAAGAACAGCAGTCAGAGAGAAAGTACAAGAACAGCAGTCAGAGAGAGTACAAGAACAGCAGTCAGAGAGAGTACAAGAACAGCAGTCAGAGAGAGTACAAGAACAACAGTCAGAGAGAGTACAAGAACAGCAGTCAGAGAGGGTACAAGAACGGCAGTCAGAGAGAGAGAGAGCACAAGAACAGCAGTCAGAGAGAGAGAGCACAAAAACAGCAGTCAGAGAGAGAGAGTACAATAACAGCAGTCAGAGAGAGTACAGAACAGCAGTCAGAGAGAGTGCAAGAACAGCAGTCACAGAGAGTGCAAGAACAGCAGTCACAGAGAGTACAAGAACAGCAGTCACAGAAAGTACAAGAACAGCAGTCTGAGATAGCGTACAAGAACAGCAGTCTGAGATAGCGTACAAGAACAGCAGTCAGAGAGAGAGTACAAGAACAGCAGTCAGAGAGAGAGAGTACAAGAACAGCAGTCAGAGAGAGTGCAAGAACAGCAGTCAGAGAGAGTGCAAGAACAGCAGTCTGAGATAGCGTACAAGAACAGCAGTCTGAGATAGCGTACAAGAACAGCAGTCAGAGAGAGAGAGTACAAGAACAGCAGTCAGAGAGAGAGAGAGAGTACAAGAACAGCAGTCAGAGAGAGTGGAAGAACAGCAGTAAGAGAGAGTACAAGAACAGCAGTCAGAGTACAAGAACAGCAGTCTGAGATAGCGTACAAGAACAGCAGTCACAGAGAGAGTACGGGAACAGCAGTTAGAGAGAGTACAAGAACAGCAGTAAGAGAGAGTACAAGAACAGCAGTCTGATAGTACAGGAACAGCAGTTAGAGAGAGTACAAGAACAGCAGTCAGAGAGTACAACAATCAGAGAGAGAGTACAAGAACAGCAGTCAGAGGGAGTACAACCAAAACGAGAGACAGTGTTGGAGATCCATTGCCGCCAGCCTTAATTATGGAGATGGCACCTGAATGATTGAGTAAATTTCAGAGATGGATTTTAAAGTTTAAAAAAAAATCACATGGCAGATGTTGGTTTCGTTGGACCCATCAAAGATGCAAACAGCAAGGAATGAAGAATGAGAAGCAATAACGAAATTCATAATCTGTTTAAATCACCACTGATCACTGGCATCATAAGAGCTAATAGACTGAAATGGTTGGGACATAGTAAAAGAATGTCAGATGACAGAGAAGTAAAAATTGTATACACAAGGAAGATGAATGGTCAGTAGACCACGAGGCAGACTAAGAAGAATTTGGAGCGATAATGTCCAGACAGACCTGCAAACACTTGGTGTCACCAACTGGAAAGCGAAGGCCAGCCAGAAAGTTGAATGGAGGCAGGTGATATCTGCAGCAATGAACCTCAAGGGCTCGGAATGCTGAAGAAGAAGAAGAAGATGTTGGTATAGGTATTTGAAATAATTTATCAGCAACTGCAGATTCCTATTCTTTTGCTGCTGTGTAGGGTTGGTAGTCATATCTATCCACAACCTTCTGTCTGGTATACTTTCAGTCATTTATTACACAGATGATCATCCATACCATGATGTCAAACTGTCCATCTTCTTCTCTCTTGGTCTGACTTCTTCTTTTTTCCCCTCTAACTCTTCAAACCGTAACGATGCACTCCAGTTTTTAAAATCTCTATTGGCAACAATAAAGTGAAGCAGAATACGATCGTTTGGATGTGTAATTAAATATAGCAACCTTTCCGAAACCATATTAGAAGGCATGTCACAAGGCAAGAGGAGACTAAGTAGTCCTTGAAAGACTTGGCTGCAAAATCTGGTCCCAACAACACACACATTTATGGGAGTACAGATAGGTGTGAAGTTATACATCTTGAGCCTTTAGTCACATCTTGATGGCAGAAGGTCGTCATGATGAAGGGATCAAACTGTTTGCCTCATTATTTGAAGAGGGGTGTATAGAGGTTCTGGAAGATATTCAACATTGAGGTTGAAACATAGGCGGACTTTTAATAAGGTTGTAACTGGTACTGCTAGTATGATGACTCTTCTTTGGCTACTGAAGAAGGGGACAGAGCACATGTGGGAATGTCATGAGTACAATGATGTCCATTCATTCTGAAGGTCATGGGTTCGTTTCACGGCTACATCATTTGATTCATAAAGTTTTTGTAGAGATCCCTGGGGATATATGGAGTTCTAGCTTTGTGTGACACTCTCGGCAGGCACCTATCTGTTCTGTGGATAAAGACCGAGCCAAATTGGATAAAACCAGCAAATTTACCACAACTTATTCTTAGGGTCATAGGCTTTCCATGAAGTGTATTTTGAAAATTTAGCAGATTAGTGAAAAAATTATGTGGAGGCATCAGAGATGTAGTTTAAAAGATGAATACTGTTAAGGATACCATGGGCAGATCAAATGAGTAATTATTATATCTGAAAAGAAATCTACTCATGAAGAGAATTGATTACCACCATCAGAAAAAGACAGCTTACATTTCTTTGGTGATATCATGACAAGAGGGAAACTGAAGAACATTGTGAAAGCAAGAAAGTTGGAGAGAAAGAGAAACAGTGGAAGACCAGGAGTGAAGATCCTGAATAGTTTGGCACCAGGATATAGAGCAGTAGGGTACAAGGAAGTTTCATGAAGTGGTGGAGGGGGAGAGGTGTCATCACTTTGGAAATTGAATGCATTCCTACTCGTAATCATGTTATAACATTTTTCTGCAATTTATAAATATATTTTCAACGCTGTTATTAAAACAATCAAAAACAACCAAGGACGTGTTTGTTTTCACAAACATTTGTGCATCTGACTTCTCTTTTTAATAATACATTTTTGAAAGTTGGGGGGGGGGAGTCTTGCTTTATATTAAAACTGGGGAGGAGGACACTACCTGAAAAAGGTTGATTACCACTGGTATAGAGGATCATCTGTGTCAGAAATATTAAAACTACACAAGGCAGAAGGCTGTGCAAGGACGTGACCACCGGAGCCAGACGTCATGGACTGTAAGAAGAAGAATTCTTGCACTTTGATTTCTAGCATCAAAATCAATCCTCTGGATATGTGTCACAAAGGGCTGATAGTCTAATCCATACTTACCTGTGCAATCCTTTGGATATCGTGGATGGAATCCATTCCAGTAGATTTGGCCTTTCTTCATTTTTTTTTTTTTTTTTGAAGTTTTTCCTGGATGTACTTGTCTCCTCAGTCAATTTATTTCCTATTTCATTGCCTGTTTGGTGATTCTGTGCTTGTTTCTTCTCAGAATGTACCCTATATCACATCATCTTTTTTTTTTCTTTTCCTTTTGTTTGTTTGTTGAAAAGATTATTTCTAGTTCAACTGTTTTTATTTTATTTTCAGGAGTCAGCAGAATTTGATGATATTCCACGAAATATGCAAGCTTTGTCGGAGAGCATTCAAGAACGAGATCGCTACATATTTGGAGATCGGCCTCGCCAACGAGTGCACACTGGGGACTTCACACAAGTCAACTGGCATTAAATACATGGACGCATAAGGGTGTGAGTTATTCAAGTAGTGGGATGGGTTTTCTAAACATTCAGACTCCATTATAGACAGTTTCAGCAGATGTCGTTCAGGAGATTTCACATGTTCATTTGGAGATTGCCCTCACTAACGAGTGCACCCTGTGAATTTCACACACATCAACTGGCATTAAACACATGGATGCATTTATGAACATATTAACAGATGTGTAGTTGTAATATGGGTGTGAGTATTCAAGTAGTAGGATGGGTTTTCCAAACATTCAGAGCTCCATGTTATGGAGACAGTTTCAGCAGATGTGGTTCAGGAGAATTCACAGGTTCATGGAGATTCCATCCAAAGAAAATTAAAATTGTCAGTTTGTTTTTACAGTATTATTACTTTGGGAGAACCACGGTAAAACACTGGCTAACTTGCTTGACTGCCAGCCCAGTTGTATTATGCTCTAATATACTTTACAAGGCAGGGATGTCTCTACTTTTGCCCTTGTCTCCCAGGTTAACCTGTTTTAAAATTAGATACCAGGACATCATCTAGGGCATGGGCAACCACCGTGATTCTTTACTGATTGAGCTCCATTTATAACAGAAGCCAACACTGTAAACTGTAAACACAATTCACCTGAAGGCATAAATGAGGCTTTTTTTTTTTTTTTAAATCCTTAATTATTGATTTAAGAGTAAAGATTCCATTGTAGTTTTTAACTGCTGTGCAAAGTTGATTCCTTAAACTGTTTTAAGTCTCCTATTTCATTTTTTTTTTTTAATGCAGAAACATTTTTGCTATACTGTTAACAGATATTTATGTTTTTTTTTTTTTTTTAAAGTGTCTGTTTTGTCTAGCGGCAGTAGCTTTTCCTGGTCTTGATTCAGTATAGATTAGTTTAATCCTTCATTAGTGGTAACAGATCTGGGAATTAGTGATTCAGTCATTTCATTCTTCTATCCTGCTGCATCTGTTAATAAATATTTTTAGTTTATTTTGTATTTTTTTTTTTTTTTTTGTTCTGTATGTTCTGAATCCATACAGCTAGCTGTACATGATATAATGTTAAGAAAGCAATATTTTATATTGCACACTAGATTTTAATTTCATTTAACTTCAAGAAATGAACGTAGAAATACATCCCAGTTTCGATACTCACAAATCGTTGCACCTGCAGTGCTTCCCCCCGTGGTATTTCTTTCTTGTACACAGGCCCTTCAGAGACTCACAACACAACCTCCTACAAACATATACGCTGAACGAAGCTGTATCATACACTGCAACATGACATAGGAGAGGCCCTGTGACCCATTGAGGCATGAATGGCATGGGAAGTCACTCTTTTTCTGGACCAAAATATTGCTTGTACCTGCTCCCGATATCTGCACTTTTCAGCCAAGCACATGGGATGTGTGTAAATTCCTCATTAGTCCCCTCTTACGGTACGCTTGTAAGGGGCAGTTGGTCTGTTCTTAATTCTTTTCCCTCCTGGGAACACACACTGTGAGTATTTTTACTTTATTTGTTTCCCCGGTTATGCCTACTTTGCTACATCTGTGTGGCTTTACCTCTTGAGTCAGGTTTCACAAGGTGATCTTGGGTTATCATTCTCTGTATTTATCTCATTGGTGTTGTGGTTAAGCGCTTTCCTGCAGATCCGAAGGTTCTGGGTTCAGGTCCTGACAAGGCCCTTTTTTTTTATGTGACCTTAGCTCCCAGGTCGCCCCAGCCTTGAATGGGTACTAGGTTAAGCCCTGGGAAATAAAGGCAGCCGGCTTGATGTTTACCGCTTCATCCACCGTCTGGTCTATAAAATATAGGTCTTGCCCTATATGCCTAATATGCATAAAGGTAAGGAAATGGGTCTATTACTTTACTTACTATTCTCATTGTCTGTGTCTTTCCTGTTTGAATCTGTAGACCTAATTGTTGTGGAAGAAAACACCCCTCCCTAAAATCGACTGTGTTTATCTTGTATTTTATTTCATGCATATCTTAATGACAGATAATAGAAAGAATTGAATATTGAGTATTTATGTTATTCGCTTATGCGCTACAACCTGACCTTCAGCAGCCATTAAAGAGTTCCAGTGGTGTTGATATCAGTTCTTCTTCGCGTTCACCGGCTGTGAACTCCGGCGGAAAGTTCTGGTTGTTCGTCCACTTCTGGACTGCAGTCCTGTTCCAGAAGCTGAGTGTTGCTGTCCGATTGACAGATCTGTATGCAGACTGTTGGTTCCTTGCCTCTCAGGCAGATGCACTCCGACTTCGAAGGAAGCTCCCAATTAGTCGACTCTTACGACATGTTTTTGGTTAGGCAGTGGGACTATTCATGTTTTTCCCATAGTAGGGCCCCGGATCTCACACGGGGGGATACCAGTACTGTTATTATATGTCTGTCTATTTTATCCTCTGAGTATGTGTGCTGCAGTCCAGGGAAGTAATTTGAAAAAAAATGTTTTTAAATCTGATGTTGATCAGTAATTAATGCTTTCAGGATTCATTCTGTACTTGAGTAAGGCTTATTGCACATGCAAATAGAAACCCCCGTCATGCCTTCCAGATCACAGGTTGCTGTGTAGACATTTCTCATATTTTGTCATAAATTTTTAAAGTCAGTTAATATAAAACTAGCTGTGGAGTTTGGTTAGAAAGTAGTGGCTCCAATTGCAGTATGATGCTCTGACCATAAGTCTTCAGCGATTGTGCTTCTCCAGTTCTTGTTATGCCTCACAACATTAGATTACAAAGTGACATAAGAGAGCTCTGTCTAGAGTTGAAAAAAAAAACTTGAAGCTATTTATATAGTGGTTGTCACGATTCATGTTGTATATTATTATGAATAACACCGTGGGCTGTTTGGTGGGGCATGAGTAACACCTAGAGCTGTTTGGTGGGGCATGAATAACACCTTGAGCTGTTTGGTGGGGCATGAATAACCCCAAGGGCTGGTTGGTGGGGCATGAATAACCCATGGGCTGGTTGGTAGGCATAAATAACCCCATGGGCTGGTTGGTGGGGCATGAATAACCCATGGGCTGGTTGGTGGGGCATGAATAACAACATGGGCTGTTTGGTGGGGCATGAATAACACTGTGGGCTGGTTGATGGGGCTTGAATAACCCCATGGGCTGGTTGATGGGGCATGAATAACCCATGGGCTGGTTGGTGGGGCATGAATAACAACATGGGCTGGTTGATGGGGCATGAATAACCCATCTGTTGATTGATAGGCATTAATAACCCTTGGGCTGGTTGATGGGGCATGAATAACCCATGGGCTAGTTGATGGGGCATGAATAACCCATGGGCTGGTTGGTGGGGCATGAATAACCCATGGGCTGGTTGGTGGGGCATGAATAACCCATGGGCTGGTTGGTGGGGCATGAATAACCCCATGGGCTGGTTGATGGGGCATGAATAACCCATGGGCTGGTTGATGGGGCATGAATAACCCCATGGGCTGGTTGATGGGGCATGAATAACCCATGGGCTGGTTGGTGGGGCATGAATAACCAATGGGCTGGTTGATGGGACATGAATAACCCATGGGCTGGTTGATGGGGCATGAATAACCCATGGGCTGGTTGATGGGACATGAATAACCCATGGGCTGGTTGATGGGACATGAATAACCCATGGGCTGGTTGGTGGGACATGAATAACCCATGGGCTGGTTGGTGGGGCATGAATAACCCATGGGCTGGTTGGTGGAGCATGAATAACACTGTGGGTTGGTTGGTGGGGCATGAATAACCCATGGGCTGGTTGATGGGGCATGAATAACCCATGGGCTGGTTGGTGGGGCATGAATAACCCATAGACCGGTTGGTGGGGCATGAATAACCCATGGGCTGGTTGGTGGGGCATGAATAACCCATGGGCTGGTTGGTGGGGCATGAATAACCCCATGGGCTGGTTGATGGGGCATGAATAACCCATGGGCTGGTTGGTGGGGCATGAATAACCCATGGGCTGGTTGGTGGAGCATGAATAACCCATGGGCTGGTTGGTGGGGCATGAATAACACTGTGGGTTGGTTGGTGGGGCATGAATAACCCATGGGCTGGTTGATGGGACATGAATAACCCATGGGCTGGTTGATGGGACATGAATAACCCATGGGCTGGTTGGTGGGACATGAATAACCCATGGGCTGGTTGGTGGGGCATGAATAACCCATGGGCTGGTTGGTGGAGCATGAATAACACTGTGGGTTGGTTGGTGGGGCATGAATAACCCATGGGCTGGTTGATGGGGCATGAATAACCCATGGGCTGGTTGGTGGGGCATGAATAACCCATAGACCGGTTGGTGGGGCATGAATAACCCATGGGCTGGTTGGTGGGGCATGAATAACCCATGGGCTGGTTGGTGGGGCATGAATAACCCCATGGGCTGGTTGGTGGAGCATGAATAACCCATGGGCTGGTTGGTGGAGCATGAATAACCCATGGGCTGGTTGGTGGAGCATGAATAACACTGTGGGCTGGTTGGTGGGGCATGAATAACACTGTGGGTTGGTTGGTGGGGCATGAATAACCCATGGGCTGGTTGGTGGGGCATGAATAACCCATGGGCTGGTTGGTGGGGCATGAATAACCCATGGGCTGGTTGGTGGGGCATGAATAACCCCATGGGCTGGTTGATGGGGCATGAATAACCCATGGGCTGGTTGGTGGGGCATGAATAACCCATGGGCTGGTTGGTGGGGTCTAAATAGCCCATGGACTGGTTGGTAGGGGCATGAATAACCCATGGGCTGGTTGGTGGGGGCATTAATAACACCATGAGTTGGTTGATCCCAAAAAATATGTGAGCCTGGAAATCTGAGGATAAAATAAGATAGCTAGCTGATGCAAGATCATTATATGACACTAGTAAACAAGTGCATTTCCTAATCCTGAAGCTGCTTGTAAAGAATCAAGTGATCCAAAGAATTAATAATGCAGCAAGTGTTGAAAATGCTAGAATAGTTTGACATCTTATCTTTGAGGATGTTTTAGAAA